GCATATCATATGAGTTCAATCCCCAGCGCGCGCGCGTCCTTTTTTTTTGTGCGCTTTTTTTTCTTTTTTTTTTCTTCGTATGCTTCATATGGACATATGCACATATGCACATATGCTTCATATGCACATATGCACATATGCACATATGCACATATGCACATATGCACATATGCTTCATGTGCACATGTGCACATGTGCACATGTGCTTCATATGCACAGAAGCACATAAGCACATATGCACATATGCACATATGCACATATGCTTCATATGCTTCATATGCACATATGCACATGTGTTTCATATGCGCAAATGCTTCATATGCAAGCATATGCCACATGCGATGTGCAATCATATGTGATCTGCAAGCAGATACGATCTGCAAGCATATGCGATCTGCAAGCATATGGGAAAGGCCGCGCGTGTGTGTAACTGTGTGTGTATGTGTATTTGTGTGTGTTTTGAGGGGCCCTCCGGTAGGTAGGCAGAAGGTGACAGGGATGGGGTCGGGGTAGGAGAGAAGGTAGATAAGGCAGGGTGGGCAGGTAGGGGATTTAGGTAAATAGCACAGCAAAGGAGGGGGGGGACCGCAACACAGCAGTAACGGTCCGTTGTGTGTTTCGTGTGACCGCGCCCCCTCCTTCCCCCATTTCTCCCTTCCCTTCCTCCGCCCCCAAGGTGCTCGGGCTCTTGGGCCTGTTCGCTCCCTAAACCCAAACCCACCCGGGGTTCAGCCTCGGAGCCTACTCATGCACTCTTTCTCCGTACGCCAACATGTCGTACCCCATGCGTGCTTTTCCGTACGACGTACCTGCGCCACGCCCGGTGATGCCGCAGCCAGCACATCCTCGAACAGCGAGCCCAGGAGCGGCGGGGCGCGGTTGGTCGAGATGGTCACCTTGAACTCTGTTTTCAATGCCCCGGTGTGTGTGTGTGTTTGTATATATGTGTGTGCGTGGGGGGCCGCCATGATTTGAGGGGAGGGAAAACCCGGGGGGTCATTACATGTGTGTATGTCTGTATGTGTGCCCGTTACAAAGCCGTAAATCAGTGGATTTACTATGTTGCCGTTACAGGCCACACAAAGCAGAGGAGTATAAGATGTGTGTGTGTATGTGGAGGGGGGGAAGAGACAAGGGGTTTACTGTCGTTATCCCTTCACCTACTGCAGCCCCTAACACCCTAACATTCATACATACACACAAACAGACGCACACGCATCGCCACCCGTCCCCTCCCCCCTCCTCACCCGCGCTCTTGACGGGCGGTACGACCTGGCAGAAGGCACACAGTGGTACGACCAGATCCAACTTCTGGGTGCGAGGCTCCCCGCCTGGGTAGGAGGTAGGGGTAGGGGTAGGAGGGGGAAGGGGGGGAAAGAGGGGGGAAGGGGGGTTAGGGAAGAAAAACTGCCAATCCTAGACACGCCTCACCCTGGCAAGCGGGTGGTAGAGTGCGGGGCGGGGAAGACGGCTGGGGGCAGGTTGGGGGAATGCGGATTTTTTCCCAGGGGGAAAAGGTGTGGGGGGGAAGGAGGCCTTGTACGGACTGAAAAGAGACGAGGAAGGAGAGAGAGTGTGACGGAGACAGAGTGTGGGGTATGAGGAAGAGAGGAGGGGGGGGACTTCTTCACATACGTACATACATACACCTTTCCACACCACCACCACCACCACCACCGCATCCGCAAACCCACTTGTGGTTGTGTACGTCGCCACCACCATAGCTGTGGCACTGGCGGGTAGGCCCGACCCGGTGGCCAGTACGACAAGGGCCACAGTGGGCTCCAGGGGGTCCATACTGACGTGGGGAACGACAATCTCGGACTGTACGGCGATGTGTATTGNGGGGAAAATGGAGGGGGGAAGGAGGGACAAAAACAATCGTCGTTCGCCATCACGTGTACGAGGTACGATAGTACGGCTTTGTCATGGTTGTGGCGATGGTGATGGTGATGGTGGTGGTGGTGGTCAGGGGTAGAAATTGTACGCAGCAAAATGCACAAAATGCGCCAGTTGTTGCAGTACAAAGCAAAAAATGGGGGCTTGGAGTGGGGCCCGCCCCAAGCCGGGGGTGAAGGAGGAGACGAACAACGGGAAGGGGAGCAAAGTGTATGCCCGCCCTTTACCCCCAATGTACACAGCATCGCCACGTACATACATACATACATACATACACCCCTCCCCCCCCCAAAACACCCCTTCCCCCCCCCCAAAACCCACCACCACGGGTGTCAGCGGTTCCGGCGCCGTAACCGACAGCTTGAGGTTCTCCACTCCCCCCGCACCCAGTCCGGGGGCCCCCTGGACCGCAAGATACAGCTTGATGGTGAGTCTCTTGCCGCCACTGAACGAGCCCAGCGAGCTCAGGTCCTCCAAACCCTCAGCCCCGGACAGACTGTGCCCCCGGGGGGCGTCCAGGCGGTGGGGGATCTGAGCGGAACATGAGAAATCAAAACAGGGGAGTATGTGGGGTGGAGGGGTGGGT